CCCTTGCCGCCTCCAAAGCTCAACGACTCTGCTGATGTCGCGATCGGCGACTCCAGATCTTGGCGGCGCGCACCCGGGGCGGGGGGGAAGGCTTCTCAGAAGCAGGCTGCCTCTTGGAGGGCGCGAGCCTTCCCTACAGATGCAGGGCGGGCGCCTTCTAGGACGCCGCCTCCTTCTGAGCAGCCTTCCCCCCCACCCCGCCCATGCGCGCGCCGCCAGATGTCGCAGAAGACCAGTTCCCCCCCCCCTGGCGATGACAGGCGAGACGGAGGGCAGGGGGTAGGGGGGAGGGGCAGAGTGACGTCACGTTTCGCGCCAGCGCCGTCTGGGAATGCTTGAGAACTTAAGAATGGCCACTTCCCAGTCGGCGCCGGCGCGGTCGGGGGCGGTCTCAGGCGTTCTCGCGAAGAATCGCGGAGAGCAGAAAGTCGGCTCAAGTGATCGGGGGGTCACGCGATCGCCGATCATGTGATCGGTTGGGCTTGGTCGCGCGATCGTCCGAGCCTAAATCCGTGATCGATCCGTGATCGGCGCTGTGGCCATCGTGGTCAGAGCTGCGATCGGATCACGTGATCGGGTGGCGTGACCGGCCGAGTGATCAAGGTCCTGGGCCGCAGCGCAGACTTGTGAACGCAGACGGTCATCAACATCTGCCTAATCGCCAGGAGTGACGACAGGGTTCGAGGTTCGAGGCTGTCGTACGTTCCCCTCGAGTCTCGGCGGTGCTCCGGCCTCGGGGTGCCTTCCAGCGGCTGCGCCTCGCCCAGAGCGCGCCGCCCGAGTCGTGCCGAAGGGCCGCCGCGCAGCCGAGTGACGGCTCAGAGGCCAGGGGGCAAGGACTGGGGAGGGCATGGGCTCAGGTCGGCCACGCGCAGAAGGGGGGGCAGGGAGAGGGGTGGCGGCTGCTGAGAGTCGCCCCGCTCCTTCGAAGGCGCAGGCCTTATCTGTAGACCGTAGATGTAAGGCCCGCGCCTTCTGAGAAGCAGCCTCTGTCTGGGAGCCCTTCCCCCTGCCTCCTACCCCCTTGCGCGCGCCGCCAACCTCTGGCGGCCAGCGCCCCTCCTCGTTTCCAGACGTCCTCGCTCCGCGTAGCCAAAGCATCACACGACCGTGATTGCCCTGGTACGTCCGTTCTGGAACGCAGCACGTACCGTGTTCAAAGCGTCGGTGTTAACACGTTGCGTGATGACTCAACGTGTTGGCCCACGTTGTAGCGAACTTGTCGCGTCGAACCTATGATTCCAATCGGCGTGTTGAGCGCCGTGTCAGCAGGCTGCGGGTTGCGTTGTGCGTGTCGGGCGGCTAAGATCACGACGGGAGGTTCGTGGCCGTCTTCAGCTTCTGGCGGTCTCATCGGAGGAGGAGGAGCAGGAGGAGGACGAGGAGGAGGATGCAGGAGGAAGAAGAGGACAAAGCAGGACGGGGAGGAGGATGAGGATGATGAGGAGGAGGAGGAGGACGACGAGGAGGAGGAGGAGGGGGGGGGGCTCAGCAACGAACCCAAGAGAAGCAGCAGAGGCGAAGAGGCAGGTCGAGGAGGTCGGCCTCCGGGGTCAGGGGTGGGCGCACGACCGGGTGCACCGCAGGGCGTTTTCTTGCAGAGGATCGCGGCCGTCCAGACCAAACATGTAGCCCGCATGTGGGGCGAGAGCACGATTCCTGCAGACGGTCGAGCATTCGATTCAGAAACCTCCTCCCGTAAAGCTGGGCCAGCATTTCTTGGCCATCTTGCTGGAAGGCTGGTCCAGCTTCTGGAGCACGTTCGTCCCTCCAGCGTTGACGCTAGCACTTGGCCCAGGTCTGCCTTGAGCAATTTCCGGGAAGCTGGCCCAGGCTTCTTAAATCATAATTGTTTGATGATACTTCCGGCTGTAAGTTGTGGGAAAGTCTCGGGCGAAACAGCTGGAGGACCAAACGATTTAGGGCGGCGATCTCGGGCTTCCCGTTCCCCCCTGTAGGCCCTTGTGGGGTTCCCGTGTGGTCGTTTTCGTACGTCCACGCAAACCCCGTAGCGAAGCGCTATTCGGGAAAAGCCGGTCCTGGAGGATGGGTCCAGACTTCTGAGGGTCCACGGTGTGAAAAAGTCACGACGTCGGAGATTTGGTTTCCTTCTTCGGCGGCCAGCGCCGCTCCTCGTGGCCTCGCGCTGGCATGGAGCGGAGGCCCGCTGCACCCGGCGACGCGCGACCGTTCCGTGCGGGCGAGTGCGTTGCGAGGCGAACATGAACAGATCCTGCCCGTCACCATGCTGCTGCTGCTGCTCCGTACAGTCGGCCTGGATTAGTAGGTCGACCCTGCCAGTTCAAGGGTACCTGTGCCTCGCGACACTTGCCTTCTTACACTCCTATGGCGATGTGGCCCTCGGAAGGGTCTTGTGCCCTCTCGCGTGTCCTGTCCAATCAGGGCCGACCGCAGCCACTTCGGCCCAACGAGCGCCATGCGCTGCAGCAGCGCCGGCATGTGATGGACCCCGGCGGGCCCCACGGGGCCCGCATCCGGGATGGCCGCCAGGACTGCGGGCGTGGAGGTGTCGATGCCGCCGCGGCGGGAGGCGGAGGTGGAGGAGTCAGGAGGGGAGCAAAAACACACAGACACAATGAATCGTCGACCCCCCAGGGAAATATGCGAAAATATGGGAAGTGGGGGGGGGAAAGACAGAAACCCCGAACACATGGAAAAATATAGGGGATCCTGTTATTTGTGTTTATTTATTGCGAAGGCCTTACGGCCGTTGCCGCCGACCCTGAAGATGACGAAAGACAACACGAGGGGGGGGGCAGGAGGAGGAGGAGGAGGAGGAGGAGGCGGAAGGGAGTAGGAGGAGGAAGGGTGAAGGGGGAGGAGGAGGAGGCCTTATGGATGTTGGTTGGGATCTCGTGGTTGACCTCTCGGGGGCGTCTGGAAGGCAACTTGAAGCCTCTTGGGGGCCGTTGTGGGGCCTCTTGGGGCCTCTTTTGGGCCTCTTGGGGCTTCCGGAGGCCGTCTTCGGCGCATCTTGGGGGCGTCTTGGCGCCGCTCGGGGGCCTCTTGGGGCCTTTTGGGGGCCTCTTGGGGCTTCCCGGGGGCCTCTTAGGGCGGAAGTCTCGAATTCTCGGTTCCTCGTCCCCCTCTTGGCCGTTTCTTGGGCCCGTCTTGGGGCCCTATTGGGCCGTCTTGGGCGCCTCTTAGGCTGTCCTGGGGCCTTCTTGGGCCGTCTTGGGGCCCTCTTGTAGGCCTCTTGGGGCGCTCTTGGGGGCCTCTTGGGGGCCTCTTGGGCCGTCTTGGAGTGTCGGAAAGCCGAAAAGGCGAGAAGGCCAAAATCATTCAAAAACCGATGTAAAATTGACGATTTTGGCGCCTGGGGCCCTCTTGGGTGTGCTCTTGGGGCTCTCTTGGAGCGTCTTGAGGGCCTCTTGGGCCGTCTTCGGGCCGTCTTGGGCGTCTTGGGGCCATCGTTCGTCGAGTCGAGGCCCTCTCGTACCCTTTTGGGGGTGTCTTCTGTCGCTCTTGGCTCGTCTTGAAGCTTTTCTGAGCTCCGGGACCCCCTGGGGAGGATGCGTATCTGGGTGGCGACCCCCCCCGGCGACCCCCCCCCCCCCCCGGCGGGGAGGGTAGGGAGGGGCTTCGCCACGACTCAACTACGACGTTGCTCAATGTCGCTTTGGCTCGCGCGCTCAAGGAGACGGGGAACGACGAAGACGACGAGGGACAACGGAGACGGAGACGACGAGGACACGACGGAGACGACGACGACGACGACGACGGTGATCCACGCAAGACGACGACACCGGGATGCGTCTTCCACACGCCGACAGGGTCGGCGGATTTGTGTGTCCCAGGGCCCCTTCAAGGAGCCAGAGCGCCGGATGGCGGAGGACGGGGTGTACTACACGCAGTCCGAGTTCCGGGACTGCTACGGGAGCGACGCGGAGTGGGAGATCGGGGAGGTTGCTAAAGACGTCCTTGGCCCAGGGTGCCCCCAGCTGTGCGTTCCGTTTTGAAGCGTCTGGGCCTTCTTTGGGCCTCGCGAGAGGTGCTCTGGAGGCCATCCAGGCCGCCTGAGAAATCCTGTCGCCACCGTGATCTGGTGACGTCTCTGGCAACACCCGAGGAGAGCCGGGCGGAGGTAGGGTTTGCTGGATTCGAGGGTTTCATCCACGAAGACCTCGGCGGGCACTACTCCACCGAAGTAATGCCTCTGGGAGCGGCCAAGGCCCGTTGCATCGAGAACCGAAGTCTGGCAGGTTTCTGCTACGACACGGCCGGCGGCGCCATCCCTGAAGACGGGGAGCTCATTGTGCACTTCAAGACCCGCTTCGAGCTGACGCCCGCCCCGAGCTCGGGCTGGTGGGCCTGGAAAGTCGGGTGGCCGCTGCTGCCAGCGCCGGCACCGAGCACCGAGGGACAGCCCGCCGCGCCCGCCGCCACCGCGGTGGAGCCAGCCGCTGCCGTGGACACACCCGATCGAACCGCAGGTGTGGAGGCGCCATTGCCACCACTGCCGCCTCAGGAGCCGGAGCGACGGATGGCAGAGGACGTCCAAGGAGGAAAGATACCCGATACCTCTGCTCGTCCTGCACGGCCCTCGTCGCCACGGCTGGAACCTCGAAGTTTCAGAACGCACCCCTGAGAGAGGTCCAGGGAGGAGCGGTATGTGTACCAGTTCTCCAGGACGGGGTGTATTACACGCAGTCCGAGTTCCGGGATTGCTACGGGAGCGACGCGGAGTGGGAGAGCCGGGCTGAGGTGGGGTTTGCTGGCTTCGAAGGCTTCATCCGCGAAGGCCTCGGCGGGCACCACTCCACCGAAGTGATGTCTCTGGGAGCGGCCAAGGCCCGTTGCATCGAGGACCCAAGTGTCGCGGGTTTCTGCTACGACACGGTTGGGGGAACGATCCCCGAAGACGGGGAGCTCACTGTGCACTTCGAGACCAGCTTTGAGCTCTCGCCCGCCCCGGGCTCTGGGTGGTGGGCCTGGAAGGTCCCCGTGGGAGGCATCGATACACCACCGTTCCGGGCCAGGGCCATCCTGGGCCGCAGCAGGGTGCACGTTACCACCACTCTGGGGCTCAGAGTGGCCCCGGCCGGGCGCGTGCCATAGGTGCCCCCTGCGCAAGGTCGGATGGCCGCAGCTGCCGGCGCCGACGGCGCAGCGGGCTGGGCCCGGCCAGCGGAAAAGGCGCGCAGCAGAACAACTTCGCACAAGCACGTCCTTCCGGAGGTCCGCGCGGACTTTTTTGATTGGACGTCGCGTGATAGGGGGGCGATAAATGGGGGGGGCAGCGCGGGCTGCAGGAAAGGGGTCCTTTATACGGCCCCCAAAGGAGTCCTTCAGGGCCCAAAATGGGGCCCTGAGGTCTGAGAAGTGCGCCTTTCTTCCCCCCCCCACCCATTTTTCGCCCCCCCACATTTTAAGCAGCGCCCTAGTGAATCTGCGCTGGGTTCCCCTCCCTGTCGCGCGGAGTTCGCCATGGGCGGCGCCGGAGGCGCCACCGGACTGGGGTCGCAGTCGATTTTTATCCCCCACGCCCCGAGCCCCGCCCGAAAAGTTTCGCCGCTCAGACTAAGGGGGGAACCCTGGGATACACCCGAAGAGGGCTATTCGGACGCAACCCCATCGAGCATGCCCCCTCGGCCCTTGGGCGGCTGGCCCGCCCCTCCGAGGAGGTGTGTTTTTTTCTCCCCCGGAGCCGTTTCTGATGGCCCCTTTGGCCCAGGAGCGGGCCCCATTCGGGCCGGACGAAAGGGGGGGGGGGAAAGGAGGGGTCACGAAATCTGCTGCGTGCAGCTGAGGGGCCCAGTGGCAAGGAGGGGACGAAGAGAAGGGGGGGAGGGGCGGGAGGCAGAGGGGGGACAACAGCGGCCGCGCCGCCGCCCTCAGGGCGGCCGCGGCGCACGCCCACCCAATTAGCCAGGGGCGCCCGGCCGCTCTTGCAGACGAGCCCGCAGGGCCGCGCGCCGCTCGGCGTCGCGGCCGCCAGCGGGCTCCGCAGGCAGCAGGAGCAGCATGGCGGCCTGCGGCGGCAACGCGGGAGCCCAGCCGCCGCAGGGCCGGCTCGCGAGCCGCCGCCAGCACGGCGCCCAGCACCCGCACTTCAGGCAAGCGACCCACGCCGGGCCCTGCACCGCCGCATGCGGTTGCCAGGCGTCGCCTTCAAACAACGCCCTCGCCGCGGCCGCCTGCCCAGGGCGGGGGTGCTCGGGGGGCGCGGCAAACGCCGGCGGCCCAGGCCGCGCCCGAGCCCGCGGCGCTGCGGCGGCGGCGACTGCTGCCGCATCCCCCTCTCGCGGCGCCCGTCTGCGGCGGTGGCCTGGCGCCACCCCGTGGCGCCGGACTCAGCGGTGGGAGCCGGGCATTTGCACCAGCGCCAGCCAAAGCGTTCGCCGCGTCGTTCCCGGCCCAGTCCTCCGCCGAGATGCCCCGATCGGCAGCTTCCGCCTGGGTTAAGTGAGCTCTCGCCCAGCGAACCCCCGCAGCAGCCCGGAGCGGCAGAGCGGCGCGATCGCCTTTCACAAATCAGCACGATGCCAATTCATCGGGTTCGCGCCGCCGCGCAGCGCGACCACCCCACGCGCGACGAATCGCGAGTCGGCGACGACGTCCACTGGCGCCCCGGCCAGGCTGCACGCGCGCGTGGCAGCCCAAAGCTCCGCGCGCTGCGCCGTCTGGCGGCCGTCCACAGGGCCGTGGCTGTCGAGGCGCCCGACGGGGAGGCCTTCGAGGCGCGCGCCCCAGCCCGCTCGAGCGAGCAGCGGGTCGGCTGGGTGCAGGCAAGAACCGTCAGCCCAAGCGCGGACCCTCCCCTGCGGCAGCTCTGGCGTGGCGGGGTCTGGCAGCGGCGGCAGCAGGAGCGCCTGCTGGGCGTCGCTCGCCAGGGCCTCCAGGTGGGTGTCCAGAGGCAGCACCGCGGTGCGCGCGACCTCGGTTGGCAGGCAGGCGCGGGCGGCCGCCAGGTTGAAGCCGCTGCGCGCCAACGCCGCAGCGCGGGTGGTTTCCCACCGCGGGCAGAGCCACAGCCGGCGCTCGAGGTCCTCCACCGCGGCGCCGCAGGGCATGCTGGCGGCCGCCCCCATTTTGCCGCCACGGACTCCGTGATCACACTAATGCAGGAGATCACCGTCCGTAGTGCGCCGGCGGCGTCAGGTGCCGGCTTCCCGGACTCCAGGAGCTGGCGCGTCGCCCAGCGGTCGACCCTCTCCGCCAAACTTTGGAAATGGGCACGGCGCCGCGCGACCTCGCGGGCCTCTCGCCGCCCCCAGGCTTCCAACAACACCGCGCGCGTATCAGGAAGGGCGCGGGATGCTGGGCGCCAGCCGTCTGGGGCGGCGGGGATGCCCGTCCAGGCTTCGACATCCGCGCCCAGGTGCAGCTCAGCCATGCTGCGGATCGCGGCGGCGATCGGGCCGAAGCGCCGGCCGTGCCGAGCAGCCATGGCGGCGCCCGCGGCCAAAGATCGCCAGGGAACCGCCAGCGTCGGAGCGCCTTGGCAGCCTGCCACAGCGGCGCGAGCACCGTCACCGCCAGCGGGTCGAGGCGCCAGCTCGTCGCCAGGACGCCGAAAACGATCTCCGCCGAGGCGCGCAGACCGCCGCGGCAAGCCGACCTCTTCGCCGCGGCACGCAGGCCGGCCAACTCGCGAACTGGAGGCCGCCCACAAGCTGCGCCGTACGTGCCCGCCGCCGTGCCAGCTGCAGCGCCAAGCAGGCAGCGGCTGCTGAAGCGGAGCGGCAAGCGGCCGAGTCGGGCGACACGCGTGGACGCCCCATGCACCCGCGCCGCCGCGACTGCGCAGCGCCTGGCCCGGCCAGCTGTGGCGGCGACGCCCAGGTCCCGAAACTCAGGGCTAGCCTGGATGTCCGGGACCTGCTCCGCGAGCCAACGCCGAAAGTCCCTGCTGCTCGCGAACTGCCTGCTCTTGGCGCGATGAAGTGTCCACCCCATCGCTGCCTCGAGCGAGGTAGTAAGGCGCAGCGCGTCTCGCACCGCCTCGGCGGCGCCCGCGCTGTCCTCTGCTGCCGTCCGCGCCCAAAGCGTGAAGTCATCCACAGAGACGCGCCGGCGCAGCCGGTCGTCCAGCCGGCCAGTGGCCTTCGTCCATGGCCAGGTCAACACCGCCAGGAAGAACACCGCTAACGGGCAGCCTGGAAGGAGGCCCCGGAAAGGCCGTCACGGTCCGCCGACTGCGGGCGGCGTACGCAGCCATCGCTGGTTTCGGCACTCGGTCCGGGACCCCAGCACGCGCAAGGAGCGTCGGGAGGGTCCGGAGGTCGACCTGGTCATCAGCCTTGCGCCAGCGTCACGCCGACGACCTCTTCCGACAAGGCGTCGGCCGCCTCCAGTTCCAGGGCCAGCTCCCGCGCGAGTTCTTCCGCGCCTTGCCGCCACTCTGCGCCCTACCAGTTGCACCTTCACTGGGCGAACAAGCGAGCGCGGCCCACCGCCAACAGACGGTACAGAACCGGGAACAGCCAGATAGGCCGACGCTCCAAAGGACCGTCTCCGTCATGACAGGCTTCGGCAGCAGGAGCCCCTCTGGCTCCACGAGCTACAGCGGCCACGCCCCTTGCGACTCCACTTCGTCGAAGAGTTGGGCAATCCACTCGTGCAGCTCTGCCGGCAGCAGCCGGAGCTCGCTCGCGAGCCACGCGTCCAGGCCCGCCTTTTTGCGCTTCGGCATCGCCTTCAGCAGAGCGCCCACGAAGTCCGCAGTCCATGCCGGCGCGTCGGGCGGCAGCCCGTCCAGCTCACGCTGCCAGGCGTCTGAGACACGGGCCGCCGCTGGCTGCTGCCACAGCGCGCGTCAGGGTCCCTCGAAGTATCGGAGCCGCGTTGCTGGGCCACCTAGCAGCGCCAGCAACCACGGCCGGTGACCAACCGCCAGCTCGGGCGCAGCCGCGGCCGCCGCAGCAGCCGCCGGCGGCGCGGGCACCAGCTCGGCTTCCACGGTTCCCCCGCCGCGGATCCAGCGGTAGAGCCGACCCTGGCAATTGGCCAACGAATCTTGCACCCACCTGTGCCACTCCTCTTGGCGCTGCTGCCGGCTGGCAGCCTGCGCGTCCGTCCACTCGCCCTCGGCGCGTCGCAAGAGTGCGATGGGGGGGTCTCTTAGGTCACCGTCAGGCGGGCGAACGCGGATACCCAACCAGCGTTCCCAGCATCAGAGGCACGAAATGCCTGCAGCGTGCCATATGCTGCCTGGCGCGCGGCAGCGGAACCATGGCGCTGCGCGTGCAAGAGGCTTCGCAGACGCCGCAGCCGTAGCAGCGACGCGTCAGCAGCAGCATCGGCAGCCTCGCCGCCTGCGCCTCGCGCACCAGGCCGCTCTGCCTTCATAGAGGCGGCGGCGTGCGGCCGCTCAGCCACGGTCGTCCTGCCAAGCCGGGCTGACAGCCACGTGCGCATCGCAAGGTGTAGTGTTTGCCACGCGGCCTCGAGGCCGTGCTGCCGCAGCGCGCTCTGATGAGACCCCTCGTAGCTGGCCTGGATTGCCGCCGCGGCGTCCCGCGCAGCCCCCAGCGCCCAGCCGTCCGCAGCAGGCCCATCCAGCCAGGGCACGGTTTCGCGGATCAAGGCCATTTCAGGGGCTCCCACGCGCAGGGTCACCACCAGGGCCGCATGGGTGGCGAGCCCCAGGTCCCAACGAAGGCCGACGGCGCGCACAAGCCCGAGGGCCGCTGGGCTCGCCAACACATAATCAATCCGCGATGGCTCTCCCTGCGACGGTAGGCACGTCGGCCCGGCTGCGGCGAGCAAGTCGCGCCACCCAGCCATCGCCAGCAGCCCGTCCAGGCCCGAGTCGGCAAGCTTGCAAGTCAAGTCGCCGACAAGAAATGCTGGGACATCCCCCAGCCCCCGCAGCCATCCCACGCCCTCCAGGATGAGGTCGGCATTCCGCTCGACGTCCGCTAGGCCCCCAGCATAGCCGGAGCAGTTCATGAAGTGAACCGCGCGGCCTCCGCCGAAGTGCAGCACCACGTGCTGCAGGCGGCCGGGGTGCCGCCCCGAGAGCCCTAGGGGCGGGTCCGCGCGAGCCTGGGCGCACCCCAGCCGGTGAGCTGCCGCCAACAGGTCCCCCGCGCCGCGCGGCCCAGGATGCAGCTGCAGGCCTCGCGCCCTGGCAGTGGCCACCGCCGAGGCCGCCTCTGCCGTGGGGATCCGGGCATCCTGCAGGCACCACGCGTCGGCGCCGGCTGCGAGCACGCCCCGCCAACTCGCACTCCAGCGCGTGACGTTGGCGACGAGCACCGTGACCTCGCGCGGTGCGGCTGCGAGGGCGGGCCCTGGGCGCGAGGCCTCGCCCACGCGGATGCCTCGCCACGGCCATCCGCTCCAGCGCACCTCCGGCGCGAGCCGCCCGTCACAGTGCACGAGTGCAAGACGCGGCAGTTTCCCAAGCTGCGTCCAGCCGCGGCGTCGACGGCCAAGGACTTCGGAAAACCCTGGCCAGGGCAGGGCACCTCCAGAGACCCTCACCACAGCCGCCGGCGCGAGCCGCCTGGCGATGCCACCCAGTGCGGCCAGGGTGGGCCGCCTGGCCTGGGCGCCTGCCTCGACAGCTGCTGCGGGCCGTCCGCCCCCAGCAGGCGCGAGCCGCGTTCCACCTCTCACGAACCGCCGCCCTGCACGGCGCTCCGAGAGCAGCCTCCCGCCTCGGCAGCTGGCGCGACGAGCCCGCCGTGGGCAGGCGCGAGCCGCGAGCCGTCCATCAGGCGCAGCCCCCCGCGCCCCGCTCGGCGCTCCGGGAGCGGCCCCGTCTGCTCGGGGACGGCGGGGTGGAGCAGGCGCGCGGGCGGCCCAGGCACTGCCTGAGCGTGACCTGGCGCCTGGCTTCGGCGGCGTGGCGCGCGGCGGCCACATCCCGCCACGACCTGGGCACGGATCCGCGCTCCTCGGCGCCGCTGGGCCCGCCACCAGGCGCCGCGGCGCCAAGCGCGGCGACAGCCGTGGGACCAGGGCCCTCCGGCAGCGCCAGCGCAGCAGCGGCGGCAGTAGAGCCAGAACCGCCACCGTCGGCGGCGGCGGCAGGCACTGAGGCGACGGGACTGCCCGCTGCCACCACCGCACCTCCTGCAGGGGCCGCCCCATCGCCGCCTCCTGGTGCCTGCGCGAGCGCTCCGTGGAGTTGCTGCAGAAGGCCGGCCACGACGGCCTGCACCCCAGGGGCGGCGGCGGCAGCAAGCGCCGCGAAGGCCCCGTCGAGCCCTCCTACGGGGGCACCTGCAGGGCCTGGCGCCGGCCCTGCGGCGCCACCAGCAGCCACCTCGGCCTGCACGGACGCCAACGTCCGCTGCGCGGCGGCCTCCTCGGCAGCCGCACGCTCCGCTTCTTCCTGCTTGGCCGCGGCCACCTGCGCCGCCCGCACGGCCCCCTCCCGAGCGTCGGCAGCAGCCTGCCGCGCCTGCAGGGCCGCCTCGGCACGCGGTGCCTCAACGCATCCGTTGCCGACTGCAGCCGGCGCTGGAGAGGCCGGGCCGCACGCTCCGCCTCTAATTACCAGCGCCGCCTCCTCCGCCTCCCACCGCGCCACCTGAGCGGCAAGATCCGGGAAGCCCCGGTTCGCCGCCAGGCGGGCGCGCACGGCTGCAAGGCGCTCCCCAGCCGCCGGCTCGGCCACCGTGGCATCGGCGGCCTCCGCAGCCGCCGCTGGGCCGCCCGCAGCCGCAGGCGCAGCCTCCGTGGTTGGACGAGGAGCCGCTGCGTCGCCTTGGTGCCCCGCCGCCTGCGGAGCCCACGGCGCCCTCGTCGCGGGCCGAGGCGCCCGGCCCAGCTGCGCCACCCGCACGGACGGCGCGCCTGCCGAGCGGGGCGCCCGGCGGCCGGAACCCCGGCAGGCCGCGCGGCATGCCCAGTTGTCGGCCACCCCGCATGAGCAGCCCCACATCGGCTGGCGGGGGCCCGCCAGCCGCTCGGTAGGGCCACCATCCCGAGCCCCAGCTCCACCTCGTGGCAGCTGACGCTGCTGCTCTTGCGGCTCCTGCTGACGCCGATGCCGCCTGCCAGATCCACCCCCAGCAGCCGCCCCCGTCGTTCCCGCGCCGAGCAGCGTCCGCAGCGCCGCAGCAAGCATCTCTGGGTCGGAGCGGCATGCCCCCCCGCCAGGAGCCCGCTGCCCGCGCTCGCGGCGGGGGGGCGTCTGGCGGCTGTGGTGTTGCTGAAGAAGGCCAGCCGCCTGGCCTAGCCGCAACAGCACGCGCGCCTGCCAGCGCGCCCGCCGCTGCCGCTGGTGCCTCGCCGGGCTGCCAGCGCGTGGTTCGTGGGCCACCGTCGCGGCCTCGCCTGGGCCCAGCCCCGGCCCCCTGTTGCAGCGGAAGCGCCCCCGCGCGCGCGCTGACTGAGAGGACCTGAGCCGAACCTTGAGCCAAAATGGCTACGGAGGGCCCATTCCTCGATACAAAGCCGGGAAAATCGGCTACGTGAGCTGATTATCAAACCCCCTTTTGCTATCCCCCCCTTTCGCCTGGCCCGACCCATGGCCCCCCGCCCCCGGGGAAGCCAGGCGACATACTCTAGGCCTCCTAGGTGGGGTCCGTGCAGATGGGGTCGGAGGATGGCGCCGCATCGCCGATGCGTCGGCGATACGGCTCGATGAGGAGCCCGAGTTCCTTCATGCCTGCGTCGCCTATGCATCGCCGCAGTCGACGATGCATCGCCGATGCATCGGCGATGCGGCGCCTTCCTCCGATCCCTTCTACTTGGACCCGTCTGGGTGGCCTCCGCATACACGAGTTCGACTCCAGGCTGAATCATACAGCAGAGGTTTTGGAGGCAAAGGGCCGACTGAGACTGATACGATTGTATAGCAATATGCTCGCTTTCAACGGGGACCGCTGGACTACCTTTCAAGATGGCTGCGCGAGCAAACTTGCAGGCGATTGCGATGAGGAAAAATACGGAATCGGGCTCCAGAGTTCGAAATCGACTAAAAAGCACCATGTTTAAAAAGTCGTATCGTCGAAGATCTGGGTGTCGGGTCCCACCCCGACTCTCCAGCGGCCTTTCGGGGCGATCTGGGCACCTCCGGGACGCCTCCGGCAAGTCGCAGCCGCTGGAAGGCATCCCGAGGCTGGAACATCGATGGGAACAACGAGAACGCTCCAAAACCTCGAACCTCGAGCCTGAGCTCGGTGGTTCAAATATGGGGTCCTGAGGGAGGGGGCCCTGAGGATAGGAAGGGATCCCAGGGTGAATTTACATCGTTTCAGGAAACTCGTCCTTGGGACCCCATCCCTTAACGGGCTGAGAACGGTATAAAATAAACTTTTTCGCCGTCGGGGACACCTGCCCCTGGGCGGCTGGAAAGTTTATACCCCTACGGTGCCACCGTAAGGGTATAAACTTTCCAGCCGCCTTGGGGCAGGTGTCCCCGACGGCGAAAGAGTTTGTTTTATACCGTTCTTCGTCCGTTAAATCCCTCAGGACCCCATCTTGGAACCACCGGTGAGCCTATCCCCCCTGGGCTTTCTCGTCCTCCCCGAGGCTGGTGCGGGCCTTCTCTGGCTGGCCCGCGCAGGGCGCCGCCTGCCCGTGTGCGCTCTGGGCCGACCCTGCCGCGGGGCAGGGCTCGGGCGGGTCCTGCCCTCCGCTGCCGGAGGTGGCGCGGCTGTCCGAGCGGGTGTGGAGGGTCCACCCTGAGCCTGATCCTCCCTACTTGTCCTCCCTCCTGCCACCTCCCGCCTCCCACCTCCTCCTCCTCCTCGCTATTCCTCCTCCTCCTCCTCCTCCTCCTCCTCCTCCTCCTCCTCCTCCTTTCTTCCTCCTCCTCCTCTCTCTTCCTTCTCCTGCTCCCCTTCCCCCTCCTCCTCCCCCTCCTCCTCCTCCTCCCCCTCAGCGTCTGCTGCTCGCGCGTTCGCCGATCGGGAGCGAGAGAAGGGCGTGCACGTACATGAACACACGTCGGTCTCGAAAGTGCGCACTGCGCGAACGTTCGTTCGACGAGGCTGGTCCCGCGGACCGTGGGGCCGTGTTCACGCACGTGGCTGGGCGCGTGCGTCTTTTGTGGGTTTTCAAGTCTAGGCCTCCCAGATGTCAGAGATGGAGAAGGTACCCTTACCGCTAGTTGCCCGTGCCTTCATTCCCTTTTGGGGCCTCTTGCGAGGCCCTCGTCGCCACCGCTGGGTTCGCCTCTACCTCCTGGTCAGAACGCACCCTGGGGGAGGTCCAGGGAGTACCCGTATCACTAACTGTTGGTTGACTTCTGAGGGGGCCTTCTCTTTCTCGCTTCCCCCTTTGCTCGCCCCCAAGTCTAGGCCTCCCAGATGGGGTCGGATTCGATGGGGTCGGAGGATCGCGCCGCATCGCCGATGCATCGGCGATGCGGCGCGATGTGGATCCCGATTTTGTCCACGCCGACGTCGCCAATGCATAGCCGACGTCGCCAGTCCATCGGTGATGCATCGGTGAGCGGGTGTGGAGGGTTCTGGGCTCTGCGTCCGCTGGTCACACGATCGCCGATCACAGATCGCATGACCTTGAGATTTTGGCCATTTGTTTTGTCACAACGGGCGTTATCGCCTGGTTTCGGGCCCCAGAAACTTCACAGATCGATCAGGCTCGCAACATGGAGCAGACAGATGGGGTCCGAGGCTCTAATCGTGAGGCTGGAATCGGCTGCAGATATGAGGTGGCCCAGCACCGATTCTGGCCAGAAGGAAGAAGGGATTAGGTTCGAGGTTTTGGGTCTGGGGACCAGTTTTTAGCAGATTTGCCCATACCCCCCCCCCGCCCACATTCGACGGAGTTTCTTGGAGCCCAACCAGCTCAGATACCCCTGCCGCTCCCAAGGCTCAACGTCTGCTGACCACGCGATCGGCGACTACATATCGTGGCGGCGCGTATAAGGGGGGGGGAAGGCTTCTTAGTAGGAGGAGGCCGTTTCTTAGAAGGCGCGGGCCTTGTCTACACATGTAGGGTCCTAAGAAGCCTTCCCCTCCAAAAACCCTTTGTGCGCGCCGTCAGGTATCGCAGGAGACCAGTTGTTCATCCGTCGGCGATTGCTGGCGTGACCAGGGGGAGGCGGCAGGGGGAAGAGCACGGTGACATCACGACTCGCGCCAGCGCCGTCTTGGAGTGCTTAGTAGCTTACTGGGCGCCAACAGTAAACCGTCGACCTGGCTACCGCTTGGGATCTCGTAGAGCTCCCAGTCACTTGCCATGGTCGTCGTCGCACAACAAGGCAATCGTTTGCATAACGATTTCTGAGCACACCGCGAGTAACACACCGAGGTCAGGCTTTCCGGGTGCAGATCGAAAGTATGTCTCGTTCCTGCTTTCGTCGCAGGCGAATCTCTAGCTCCGATAACCCCAAACTATCACGAAAAGACCGTTCGAAGCAGCAGCGCCACTGCAGGTTGATATGGATTTGTCGAAGTATTCGGTTATAGCTCGAGTAGAGTACCAATCTCCGACCCTTTGGAGGCTGCAGGTCAAAAGTTTGCGATGCTGCGGGATCGTTTCGTGCAGTCGAGAGCTCGGTAGTTGCCTGCCAGAGCAGAATGATATGTTCAACCCTTTTTTTGTTTCCCGGTGTCGGCGCGACGTCGTTTCATCCAAGTGTTCCAATGAGAATATTGCAGTCACGGCCATGCAATTAAGGCAGAAACTAACGCATCTTAATGTGTAGCACGTGTGGAACTAAGTAATTGTTCAAAAGGGCCTGCCATATTTACCACAACGATCCAAAACTAACCCCCAAGTTACCACAGTGTCTACGAGGCCGAAGAGTTCTACGAGGTACTACTCCGGCTTATGTTGCCACGCTAGCTAAAGAAACTCCACGAATCAACCGCGTAAAAGCCGATGGGAAGGGCTCGCAAGGACGCTGTAAAAGCACATAGTTTTGTTATACAACTCTCTGTGAAGAAGAGCGCCGCGAAGGTGCGCGTGACGCGGGGCACCAGCAGCGGCCTCAAGCTGACGCCTGGGGGAGGCTGCCAGGAAGCGGCGGAAGCGGGGAAGATGAGCGCCGCGCTGGCGAAGTTTGCAGCGGGGGCGTTCGCAGTCGGAGAGAAGCATCTGCTGGCATACAAGTTGGAGAAGCAGGAGAAGCTGGCAAAGGCGGGGCAGCATGTGAGGACGGACTAGGAGACGGCGGCGAAGCAGGAGGCTGCGCCGCGCAGCGCGGGATCGCCGGGTTGTCGGGCGGCCCAGGCGTGCGCGCGTTGGTCCAAAAGCCCGATGTCTGGGACTTGGCTTCCAGTACAGGCTTTTGTTCAATTTGCACGCCGCGGGAAGTCCAAACGCCGCGAGCGCACGGCATTCCTAACGGCGAGTCGGAGGGCCGACGCGCGCGACGCCACGGGGTCTTGGGGTTTCGTGTGGTTCTCTTGGTGCGTTTTGCCAGCGGCGCGGCAGCGGCTCGGATCTGCGGCGATCGCGCGAGACCCGAGGAATGATTGCATAGGGAGTTTGCTCGGTCGGTTGGAAGGCGGGCGTGGCCCTGGAAATTCGAGCGAAAAAACAGGGCGAAGGCACGTGAAAGGCTGGAACACAACGCATCAAAACCAGCGCGCTGCATATTTTACAAATCGTCAGCGGGCCCGCCAGGAAAGAAGGGGGTACGGAGGGGGGGGGGAGCAACGAGCGGAGGGCAGAAGAGAAAAGACAGTACCAGCGGACTGGACTACCGATCAGCACATTCGCTCTTGTCGTTCCGTCCATCATTCTTCTCTGTCTCCATTCCCCTCTCCCGCCCCCAATGGCGCGCGCTTCTGTTTTCCAATTGTGCGCGCTAACCGCGTGCGGACTGCGCCGCTGGGGCTTTTCGGTGGAGCTCCGTCTGGGGCCGCGACGCGCCGCGCCGGGTGGGGGGGGCGCATGCGGACTGTGCCGCTGTGACTTTCGGTGGAGGTCCCTCTGGGGCCACGAAGCGCCCAATTGGGCAGGGTGGCCACATGCGGACCGCGCCACTGGGACCTTCGGTGGAGCTCCCACTGGGGCCACGAGACGCTGCACTGGGCGGGGGAAACGCGCGCGGACTGCGCCACTGGAACTTTAAAATTCGGTGGAGCTCGAGGCCGCGAAGCGCTGCGCTGGGTGGGGGAGCCGCACGCGGACTGCGCCGCTGAGACCTCCGGTGGGGCTTCCTCTGCGGACACGAAACGCCGTGCTGGGTGAGGGAGGCGCATGCGGACTGCGCCGCTGGGACATTCGGTGGAGCTCCCTCTGGGGCCACGAAACGCTGCGCTGGGTGGGGGGACCGCGCGCGGACTGCGCCGCTGGGACATTTGGTGGAGCTCCCTCTGGGGCCGCGAAGCGCTGTGCTGGGCAGAGGAACCGCATGTGGACTGCGCCGCTGCGACCTTCGGTGGAGCTCCCTTGTGGCCCACGAAACGCTGCGCTGGGCGGGGGAACCGCGTGCGGACTGCGCCGCTGGGGCCTTCGGCGGAGCTTCGTCTGGGGCCGCGAAACGCTGTGCTTAGTGGGGGAACCGCGCGCGGACTGCGCCATTGGGGCCCTCGGTGGAGCTTCCCATAGGGCCTCGAGGCGTTGCGCTGGGCGGGGGAATTACATGCGGATTTCGCCACTGGGGCTTTCGGCGGAGTTTCGTCCGGGGTCGCGAAGCGCCGCGCTGGGCGGGGGAACCGCGCGCGGACTGCGCCGCTGGAACCTTCGGATGAGCTCCTATGGGGCCACGAAGCGATCTATTGGGTGGGGGGGCGCGTGCGGACAGCGCCACTGGGGACTTTGGTGGGGCCCCCTCTGCTGCCGCGAGACATTGCGCCGGGCAGGGGATGCGCGCGCGGATTGCGCCATTGGGGCCTTCGGCGGAGCTCGAGGCCGCGAAGCGCTGGTTGGGCGGGGGGGCCGCATGCAGATTGCCCCGCTGAGACCTTCTGCGGAGCTTCCTCTGCCCATGGGGCCGCGAATCGTTGCGCCGGGTGGTGGGGGAGCCGCGTGCGGACTGCGCCGCTTGGGCCTTCGGCGGGGCCGCGAAGCGCTGTGCTGGGCGGGGGGGCAGCCCGCGGACTTCGCCGCTGGGGCCTTTGGCGGGGCCCCCTCCCGGGCCGCGAAACGCCGCGCCAGCTGCGGAGGAAGGGGGGGTGGAGAGGAGAAGAGGAACGCAGAGCGCTGTCTCATCGAAACGAGGACCCAAGGCCTCAAGGACGGCTGGGGGGAAGAGAAAAACCAAACAAACGCCCGCTCGCACGACGGTCTTGCCGCCGGCCGATCGGGGGACATCGAAATGTCGCACGGGGCGGCGCTCGGGGAGTCGCGGCGGGTTTGCGAAGCGCGCTCGCGCCCTATCGGGGCAGTTTTGAGATTCTCTCGGGCCCTCTCGAAGGCCCCCCCGGCCCATTTGGGCCCAACTTCTCGGGGCCGCTTTGCGCGGGATCAAGCTTCGTGATTTCAGGGGGGCCTCTTCGGGGGATGCCTTCGGACAAGTCCGGCCTGGCCCACCCCGCGACTATCCTGGAGCTCCGTGGGGTTATTTTGGACGCGTGCGGGGGCGTGCCCCTCATGGGTCTCGGGGTCTCGGGCTCGGAGCCGCTCTGTGAATCTCCTTGGGGGCCTCTCGGAGCTGTGCTGGGTCTCTCCTAGGGCCCTCCTGGGGGCCTTGGGGGCTTTCTCGGAATTCCCCCGACTGCGCCTGCGCGATAGGGCGCACCGGCACTGCTGACCAGCGCGGCAGACCAGCGCGTCGGTGCGCCGCGGCAGACGAGCGCCGCGGGCCGCGCCAGCGAGGGGAACCAGGCAAAGGAGCACGGCGAATCACCCAACCAGCCACGAGAAAGGACAACGTCGGCGCGCCCGCCCCCAGACGGCCCAACGCGCCCCCAAGACGGCCAGACAACGCGATCGAAGGCTGGGCAACAAAGGACGAGAGAAGGGCTGGTGAAACACGCCGAGACAGCATCCAGGTGGGCCCAGCATGGTTTCAACGCGTCTTGAAGGCGCCTGAAATTGCCGACGTTTGAAAAGGTGCTAGGATTTGATGGTGAGCGTTTTTCCTTTTCGCGTCGCGACGCTTCCGCGGCGACTTCGCGCCGCCCCTGGAGGCGCCTTGCGCGGCCCAAGAGGTCGGCGAGAGATTCTCAAGAGACCCGTTAAATACTATCGCGCGGTCCCCTGACCATGAGACGCACGGGATCGGCGCAATCGGGCACTTTGGGCCGCCGCGACCGGGTGCCATTTTCGCGAGGACAGGCCAGCTCGGCGCAGGCCGGGGCTGGTGCTCCGCGAACAGCGGCGGCCAGGCTGAACGCGGGGATCGGACGACAGCGCGGCGGCCGCGCGCTCGACGTGTTGCCCCAGATCGGGCCATTTCGTGACATGTCCACGCCGGTGCAAGTCGCGATACGTCGCCGACGTCGCCTAGCATCGCTGGCGTGGCCGACTTAGGCAATGCCACTTCATCCACTTAGCTCAAGCTGCGCGCCAGCCATGCAGTTCTCAGGCGCTTCACCGAGCCGAGAGCGATCTGCTGCGCTCGCTGGGATCAGCGAGAGGTCCGAAAGTGACGCGTTGGAAGGCATGTTCGAAAAACCGTGCATGATGCCACGCGCGTCGGCAGGCTGTTTCGTGCTAGCTCGAGCTGCAGGCTAGCCGCGGTGTTCTTAGTCACGCGAATCGAAGCGAGCACATCTTAGAAATTGCCAGAGACCCATGAGGATCCACGAAACGGTTGAACCGGCAGGAACACTCAACATGGTTTTGGGCGAAATAAACGCTGGATGCGTCGGTCGGCTGTTCGATGCTAACTCGAGCTGCAGGCAAGCGATGCTTGCGAGCGTTTCCGACGCGCCAGCAAGCGACATTCGCGGGCGTTCTCGCGGCGGCGCCGCTTGGGCGCCCGAGCGACGCAGCACGCGCTGCGCACGTCGCTTCGACGAGCTCGCGAGGCCGGCCCAGGGCGCCTTTAGGCGCTGCGCGCGACGCCCGGATGCGCTCCCAAGGCGCTCGCGCAACGCATCGTTCAAGCGCCTTGGGGGGCGCTTGCTGGACACGCCGCAACCTCTAGCAGGTTGCCGCGACGAGCCTTGAATGGCGAGCTCCTGGCACCTGCCCGATTGATTCGTGGAACTTCGTCGATGGCGAAGCTGCTAAGGTCTAGAGCAATTGTCGTAGAGCTGGTCGACAAGATGAGCTAGGAGGAATGCAGGCGCAGGGGGGCGGAGCTGGTTGGCCGACTCGGCTAGAAGGGAATTCGCAGCGACTCGGGGGCGGCGCTTGAAGTTTGCGCGCAATGTTTAACCGGACGGGCACATCGGACGTCCAGCTTTTCATTTTGGGTAGTTGTTTTTTTTTTACGCTCGTCGATGTAAGATCCATGTTTGCCGTTGCAGCGTTTACTCCTGTTCGCTTCCACGTGGCTGATATGAAGAACAATGGTCATGTTGAAAACAAGCTTCCTGAGCTCAACTCGAGCTGCGCGTCAGTCGCGAGGCTCTCTGGCGCTCCAGCAAAGAAAACTGATCTGCATCGCTCGCTGAAAGCAGCGAGAGGTTACAGAACAGAGTACTGTGAGAGTAATGCTTGGAAATCTGTGCTAGATGCTGCAAGCGCGCGCCGAGTGTTGGACGTTGCCTCGAGCTGCAGGCCCCCCCAGGAGCTCTGATGCCCTCGAACCGAACTCTCGGCGCTCAAGAATGCGCCGGGGAGCCGCGAGCGTCATTGTTGTAGGCTCAAAGGAAAGAAGAATCAACATCGAAATGCTGACGGGCTAGATGCTCTATGCGTCGGGCGGCTGTTAGGCGCCATCCCTACATTCAGGCAGCGCGCAGAACATCTTGGCCTTTGGAACCGAAGCCGCGCGTTTGAATAATGCGCCAGGGAGCAACGAAAGTGCGCATCATGAGCTGATGCGAGTATCGGCTCGAAGCTCTTAGCGTCTATGTCACGCGCTTAATTATTCGTCCAGCCGCGCGGTGCTAACTTGAGCTGCTGTCAATATGCGAAGCTCGTGCAGCAGGAAGTCGAATCCATTAATTCCGAGAGTGCGCGACGGAGCTGGGATACTGCAAGATTGTTGATACTACAGAATCGAGCGAAAAATGACAAGTTCTCGGGCGAGAGCTCTACGAGGCTCCCGGCGGCGACCGGGTTCACTGTCTACCGCCGGCCCGTGGTGTGGGATTTCTTTTTCTGGTGTGGGATTTCGCTCCTCTGTGTTCGGTGAGCGGTTTGACGACATGTTCAGGTCGGAAGTGAGCAGTTTTGCGACCTGCTCAGGTCGCAGACAGCCCAGGGTCTCAAACTTTGAGCCGGCCCTCCCAGGCTCGAGTTCGAGCCCGAGCCGCTTCGGCCCAAGCCCGGGCTCGAGCCCGAGCCCAAGGCTCCTGCACTGGGTCTTCATGCTGGGGCCAACCGCTCGGGATTCCGCTCCCCGGGCTGTCGAGCCAACAGGTGGGGGTCCCGTTTCCCGGGCCGCTTCATGCCCAAGTTCTTGGACCTTGGGCCGCGCCGGGTTCCAACCCCTCGGGCGTGTCGTAGGACAGTGAATGCAGAAGTATACAACACTCGAGTAGAATGCAAGTATCAGGTTTCTCGAAGCTGCGGATCAAAGCTTCCGATGTTGTTGAATCGTTTCGTGCAACCAAGAGTTGTGCCACGGTTCTGAGTATCGGGATCGAGTTCACCAACCGAACGCGTGACCACGAATGATTTTGGTGTCGGCCCAACGTCGGTTGGCCCAAGTGTTTTAATAGTAATCCGAATGGCTACGGACCTGAAGCGAGATAGAAAGCGTATTTCCATTTTCTACATAAGGAAATGTCTGCAGTTCTTGACACAACTTGTTAAGCCACAATGATACAACACTTGACCCCAAGTCACCACATTGTCTCTTCTTGTCGGGTCGGGCAACAAGCTCCATCCTGCCCCCGAATTCATCCTGGATCATCTCACCGCAGAGCGCTACGAGCTACGAACGAAGTACTTAAGAGTTTAAGCATGGCTGGTTCCGTGGCGGCGCTGGCGCAAATCGTGGGGTCACCATGAGAAGGGGGGCGGGGGCGGTCATGGGCGCCATGGCGAAAAAACGAGAAGAACAATAACATGAGCTCGAGTGATCGGAGGGTCACGCGATCGCCGATCATGTGATCGCTTGGGTTTGATCACGCGATCGTCCGAGCTTAGATCCGTCATCGATCTGCGATCGGCGCCGTAGCCATCGTGCTCACGGTTGCGATCGGATCAAGTGACTGGGTGGCGTGATCGGCCCAGTGATCAAGGTCCTGGGCCGCAACCCGGGTTCGTTCACGCTCACGGGCACCAACATCTACCTGGTCCTCAGGGGTGACGATAGGGTACGAGCTCCGAGGTTTACATACGTGTTCCTTGGTTCTCGGCGGCTTTCCAGCCTCGAGGTGCCTTCCAGCGGCTGCGCCTGGCCGAGAGTTTTCCGGCCGAATCGTGCCGAACGGCCGCCACAGAGTCGAGCCATGGCCTCGAAGCCAAGGGGCAACGATGAGGGGGGGCACCGGCCCAGGTCGGCCACGCGCAGAGGAGGGTAGGGGGATGGGGGAAGGTTGCCTTGAAGCACCCGTTGTGTCTTACGAGGCGCGGGCATTCTCTGTAGATGTGAGGCCAGCGCCTTCTAGGACGCAGCCTCCCCCTGAGGAGCCCCCCCCCTACCCTCACCCTCTCCTGCGCGCCACCGGCTCATAGCCCGCCCCGCCAGGGAGCGTGCGGCTTCGCGACCGGGGGCTCCTACAGTCAACGCGCTGCAACAGGGACCATTTTGGGTTCGGGAGGGGTTTTGGTTTTGTCTCGCAGCTCCGCAGATCTAGGTCGCGGAGCCCAGTCGTGGCCGATGTTCGCCGTGGTCAGGGAAAAAACAAAAAAACGTTCCTTATTCAGCTTTCCTCATGGTAGCACGGTGAACGTATCGCCGTATCGCCGATGTGTTGGGGATGTGTCGCCGATTCTGTGTCAACGCTTCCCCCCCTGTACCAGTCCCCCCCGACAGTCCCTTGCAGGTCGGCTCTGGGGCGCGGAGGATCCTGATCGACACCGGAGACCGGAGAGGAAACATCGGCATTCGGGCAAGTGGTAATGTGGGATGACATCATTGGGGAGCGAAGATAAGGTCCATGAAAGGGGCCTTTTTCTCCACCCCCTCCATAAGGTCGCCCCCCGCCAGGCGTGCCCGCGCAAACTTCTGGAGGTGCGCACGGTTCTCTTGGGTACACGCTGGGCCCCCTCTGGTGGCGCTTGCGGCGCCGCCCAGGGCGCGCCCCGCGCGCTCAAGTGTTCGCCTCTTCGGTGCCCAGGCACGCTGGCCATCCACGTGTGTATCCCTCGCGTGGCCTCCAGATGTTCCTCATGTGACTCCAGCCACGCGTGTTTCCAGCCTCCTGGTATGTTTTTGTTGCACCTGTATCTTGCATCTCCTTCTAGGAGAGGCCAAGCCCGGGGTGCTGCAGAACCTCTGCGACGTGATGCGGCGGGAGGAGTGCCAGGCCATCGATCAGATCGTCATCACCCACTGGCACCACGACCACCTCACAGGCCTGAAGGAGGTGCTCGCGGGCCTGGGCCCCGTGCCGGTCCGCATGTATCTCCCGACCGAGGGTACGGCCCGCAACGGGAGGAACATTTACGGCGAGCTGGGTGGCACTTTCGACCCGAACGAGTACCTCCAGGACTTCGTAGCCCCTGGAACCGGCAATGTCGTTTTTGGCACTGGTTCCAGTTTGCCTCTCTTGTTGTCGGTTCAGACGCCGCGCTGCCGCTTCGCTTCCAGGACCGTCGCCGTGCTCGTTGCTTGTTCTGGTTCCAATTCCAATAGGGAGCCGCATGCGAACCCTACCCCTACCCCCCACGGTTTTTGAGGGGGAGGGTGGGGTTCACTTTGCTCGGGAGCTCCGGAAAGAAGTGAACCCCACCCTCCCCCTCAGAAATCGTGGGGGGTAGGGGTAGGGTTCGCATGCGGCCCCCTATCCAATTTCGAAGCTGTTGCTTCGGGACCCAGAAGCACTTTTGCACAACGGCTAACACAAGTCCTTTGCCGTTGTTTCCAGGGCCCACTCCGCTCCAGGACGTGGAGGTAGTTGGCCTTGAGGACGGCGAGGTCCTGCGGTGCGAGGGCGCCACCCTCCAGGTCATGCACACGCCCGGCCACACCAACGACCACGTCTGCCTCGCGCTGGAGGAGGATCGCGCGGTGACCTCGAGTCCTCACCGCGCGGTCCGTCGCCTCACGGTCCTGGGACCTCGGAAGGCCCGGTCGCCCGAGACGTCCTTGGAGAGCGACCCGAGACCCAAAACCGTGCGCTGACCCCGAATCCCCACTGACTCGCTATTCGGTGTGGTCACCACACAGTCTGGGGTCCCCCGAGAGGAGCGAGCGCTCTTCACCGGCGACAACGTGCTCGGCTGGGGCACCGGCACCTTCCAGGACTTGCAGCAGTACATGCGCTCGCTTCAGAAGATGCGCGCCGCACGCGCCGAACTGCTCTATCCAGCCCACGGGCCCGTGGTTGGCGAAGGCGGGGCTGAGGCGTGGATTGACATGTATCGGCCCGCCTTCGGCCCACCTCGCCGCCGACTCTTTGATGCAGTTCGTCTCTCCAGCCTCTCCTGCCCATACCCATCGACGCAGGCGGCTACGGAGGAGGAGGCGGAGGAGGAAGAGAGGGGTTACGAGGGAGGAGTAATGGAGGATGAGGAGGACGACGACGACGACTTCGACCATTTGGGAGGGAAGAGGCACGGGAGAGGAGGAGGTGAGACAGTGCAGGAGGACACGGTCGGCGAGAAGGATGGAGGAGGAAGAGGAGGTGGATGAGGCGGAGGCAGAGTTGGAAGCGGAATCTCGGGCGGAGCAGGGCCGAAGCGGAGCAGGGATCAGTGTGTCCAGCCTTGGCTTTGGTTGCGCGTGTCTGCCGCAGCAGCCAGGAACACGACTGGGGCCTCTTCGCCTCATGTCAGGATGCCGCCCCCGACATGCGACGTCCAGATTCTTTCAATACGGGGTCCCTGGAAGTCCCGACCCTTTCCCCAGGACCAGTTTTTTATCCCGAGTCGTTTTTCGACGGTCCCGAGGCCCGGCGAGGGCCCCGCAAGGCTGAAAACGGACGAAAACCCTCCCGTTCGGACTTTTTGCGACGCGATCATGCCTGGGGCGCTGCGATGTCATAGCGCGACGTGGCCACAGGGTGCACGGCGGTCTTGCTGCTCCTGCGGGGGCTCGTTGGAGGCCTACGTTTGCGGTCCTCGGAGGGCCTCTCGGGCGCCCCCTCCCGGCTCCGAGGGGAGGCCATTGGGGGCCTCTCGGGAGCACGTCGGGAGCCCGTGGAGTGTAACCCGGCCACGCGCAGAGGCGGGTAAGGGGGGAAGGGGTGGGGGGAGGGGGAGGAGGAGGAGGGGGAGGAGGAGGAGGAGGAGGAGGAGGAGGAGGAGGAGGAGGAGGAGGAGGAGGAGGAGGAGGAGGAGGGAGGTGGGGGGGGGAGGGGGGAAGGCTTCTCGGAAGCCCCTGCTTCTTAGAAGGCGCGGGCCTTGTCTATAGATGTAAGGCCGCCGCCTTCTAAGAAGCAGCCTCCTTCTGAGAAGCCTCCCCCCCCCTCCCCCTCCCCCCCTTGTGCGCGCCGCCAGGTAACCGTGGGGTGTGCCCCGTCGGGAGCCTCCTCAAGGGGGCCTCTCCAGGCCCTCTTCCTGCCTCGCGCGGTCCTCGCGAGGGCCGAGTTGGGTGTGTTCCAGGCCGTCTTGGGGGAGAGGCGGCCAGTTTCCAACGTGTGTGCTCTGGGGTCCGTTTGAGAAGCCTCTCTTGGGACCACCCTGGAGCCCCCAGAGGCTCTCTGGGACCCTTTGGGAGCTTCCCCGAGATCTCCCCGGGCCCTGCGGGAAACTTTTTGGGGCCCGAAGAGACCCCAAGGGTTGGTCGTCCCCGTCGTCGCCGTCATCGTCCTTGCCGCCAACGTCGTGGTCATTACCATCCGTCTTCGTCGTCGTCGTCATCGTCGTCGTCGTCCCCATCCCCGGGATTTGGGCCCCTGGGTTTGGGGCTGGGGGCTCTGCGGCTCGTCTGTGATCCCAAGGACGAGAAGGCCCGAAGAGTTTGTGTAAGGTGATCTAGCAGGCTTGCGCTACCAATGTGCCTCCTAGGGAGGCTTTGGGGCCTCCGCGGGGCCATCCTCAGACCATGTGGAGGGAAACTGGGGTCACCCCAAAAGCCATCTTGAGCAAAGCCTGGTCATCTCGGGTGGCCTACGATGCGAACCGGCCACCCCGTGTGCGACATGCAATGGACAAGCGTGAGCGCAACCCCCTCACATCCCCTAGCCCCTAGTTTCGCCATTGCTTGAAAGGGCCACATGCGGCAACACCGGGACGCTCCACATCGTGCCCTCTTGGCGCGAAGCCGGATATATCACATCGAGAGGAGCGAACGCAGCAGGTGGTCCATGTGCTCCGAGAAGCTCAGCCCAGCGGCCTGACTCTGGAGGAGGTGTCGCGCCAGGTCTACAAGGACAGGCCAGATGTTCTTGGCACCCCCGCCCTCTTCGGCGGCGCCCGCAACAACACCAGGCTGGTGCTGGAGTACCTGCAGAAGGAGGGGCAGTGCAGCGTGGACGGGAGCTGCTACAGCCTCAGCGTGCCCTCGCGCCTCTGATGCGCCCCGGCCGCGTCATGGGGCTGTCTCAGAGCGCGTCCGTTTTAGGGTAGGTTCAGTGCAGGCGGTGGCGGCGCAGTCCTTCGGCTTGCATGCTGCCAGCGGGAGCGAGGCTTTTTTCCAGTGACGCTGGCACTCGCCGTGACATGCACAAAAGAAGCGGACACAGATGCTCGCGATCTTGCTTCTGTGTTAGCATCCCGCAGGTCCTGGTCATGTCCCGGTCCGGAGAGCGCGAGGAGAGGGAGAGGGACAGAGAAAGAGAGGGGGACAAACAGATTGTGAGAAAGAGACGGGAGCTCACATCGCACCGCGATCCCAGACAGACTACGCCGAGATGTTGCCCGCAGCTACCTGCCCCACGGGCCATTCGCCGAAAGCACGTGTTCAAGCCCGAAGTACAGCCGGACCGAGGCACAAGATCGAAGTCGGCTGGGGGAGGGTACCCGAATGTCCTTCGTGCTTGTTGGAGTTTCTTGTGCATCCTGGGGAGGGTACCCTCGGATATTCTGCATGTGTTCTGGCTGGCGGAGGGTCCCATGTTCTTGAAGGATGTTCTTCTATTCTTGGTCTGGCTGTATGCTCCAGGCGCTACCCTCTTCAGTCCACCGAGCGCGTTTTCTCTCCCAAGTCGATGGCATGGGCTTCTGGGCTCTCGGCTGGTCGGCGCCCGTGCCCGCCTCTCGTGCGCTGGTTGGCGTTCTTGGCGCTCCATAGCTTTCGGCCGGGGTAAGTTCAGCCACGCGCAGAAGGGAGGTCAAGGGGGGAGGGGGGAAGGCTTCTTAGAAGCACCCCTGGTTCTCAGAAGGCGTGGGCCTTGCTATACACGTAAGGCCAGCGCCTTCTGAGAAGCAGCCTCCTTCTGAGAAGCCTCCCCCTACCCCCCCTGTGCGCGCCGCTAAGTAAGTCCATACCCGCCTCGTGCACGCCTCGTGCGCTGGGTTGCGTTCTGGACGTTTCCGGCCGGTCGGCGCTCGTACCCGTCGCGTGCGCGTGCGCACAGGGATTGACCCACACCAAGTACGAGTAGCTTGCAACACGTGTATTGCACCACAGCAGTTCGCAACCAATCCATTGCAGGACAGAACAAATTGCATCACGTCGTCTGCACCACATAGATGCGAATGTGAAAAAATGACAAGGTCCCACCGCCGTCCAAAGCCCTTACTCATCGATCCCCCTGGGACACTGTAAAATACATAATGCCCCATCGTTCACTTCGCATTTGAGGCCATACCATCCCAGGCATGCCAGTATTTCCCCACCACCTTCATCACTATCAAATAATACAATTCGCGCACACGCGACTATCTTGAACTGTAAGCTTGCAATAACCACTTGCGAATCTAGACAACAAAGTCGACGTGCTCGCGCATATGTCGAGATCAGACCAATCACCTTAGTTTCGCAAGTGATCCAACGTAAGAACATCAAAGCACGTAGGTGTTCCATGAAACGCCTTGCAGATGTCCAGCCCGCGCGCACCTGTTGAAACCGTACGAAACATGCATTTGTGCAGCAATTGTTGTCCGTAGCTCGCATCATCATCTCACCAGGTGGTGCATCTGCGTTGAGTTGGCATGCGCCCAATGCAGGCCACTTGCGTACGCCGCCACGCGTGCGTGTCGACATCGATTCAATGTCATGGGTTTTCGGAGCAGGTCAATATATAACTCTTCAACACATCTGAGAAGCCAAGTTCTGCTTCAAGAAAGTCTGCCAGATGTATTGAATTTATGATCGCGCACTTCCTCACCATCACCCTCACCAGTGCCATCGCATCACCGCCGCCATTGTCATTGTCAATCGCTGCCATTGCCGCCACCATCATCACAATCACCTTTATCACCGACGCATGGACATCATCATCGCGATCGTCGTCACAAGCATCGGTCGGCGCCGTCATTGGCCTTGCCGTCATGTTGCATATCCCATGAAGTGTCGCACACATGCGCACACCAGTGCATGGCCAGCAGAGCACGCGCGTGAGGCGCTCTCGCACGCGCTTGGAATAACAACCAGAAGCGCAGAATTCACGCGCACACTACTAATTCTCCGCTGGCGGGCGGATTAGTCCACACCGCGGAAGCGACGCATCGGGATACGAATGCCTCGAACGGGCCTCCGTACGAACAGGTGCGGCCACGCGCACACGCTGAAAGGGCAACGTTAGGGGTGGAGTGGCTCATTGATTACCCAATCGCCCATTGATTGCCGAGAGTGGCCGGCTAGCCTCCCCCGCCTAGGAGCGTGAGGGTTAGCAATCGGGGGCCTATTATCGCCGACCTATCGGCGATGCATCGCCGACTCCAAGTCGATGCTTCCCCCCCCTGAGCCGGTCACACCCCTTATCGCTTGCCCTCAACACCTCCACGCGCCGCCTGCGCCGCAGCTCCCTGTTCGCGGGCCGCCCTGCGGCATGCTCCCCCCGCCTCTCCTAGAGAGAAGAGAACTATGCACATGCACCGATTCTGGCCAGGCCCATCCTGAGCCCAGGATCGGTGCATACGCCCTCCTACCTTGGCCAGGAAGGCATATGCACCGATCCTGGGTCAAAGATGGGCCTTGCCAGGATTCGGTGCATGTGCATAGTTCGCTCCCCCCCCCTCTCCTGACAGCCGTCGATGCGACTGGTTCCATCCGCGGCCCCGGTCGGCCCCGACCCCCTGGGGGGCGGTGCCTCTTCCCCGAGCTGCTCTTGAGGGCCCCAGGGCCCGACCACGGACCCCGGAGGCCGAGATCGAGGGAGAGCGCCCAAGTTGAGGTCAAAGCAGGTCGTCGTAGATCTGCGTGCCCCTCCCTCCGGGCGAAGGGAGCTATGCACATGCACCCAATCCTGGCAAGGCCCATCCTTGACCCAGGATCGGTGCATATGCCTTCCTGGCCA